TTTTTCTAGTTTGTTTTTTCATTTGTTAAAGAAGTTGAAAATTATCATTTACCTAAATAGTTTCTTTTCTTTTTTTGCTATAATCCAAATTAACCCTTACTGATATTTGATTTTTCTTGTTGATAGAAATGGTTCATTGATAGTGCGACATATGTCATCTAAGAGTTAATTTGGATATATTTCGTGGTAACAAATTATACATATGTCGTACGTGAAAAACAAAAAACAAAAATCGCATATGTTGAGATATTATAATGTTTCTAATTAAAGCCAAAATTTATAATACTGTTACTCATGACTAATCACTCATCAACCACCTAAAATTTATTATTATTTCTGTAACATCATTATAAATAAAAATAAAGCAGAGAGACTCCCTTGTCATATAATCTAAAAGAAAATGTTATAATAATGTCCATACACACCCAAGAAAAACTTTGCAATAAATCGATTATTGAGGAGGGCCAAAAAGAATGTATATAAAATTGTGCCATTAGGGAAAAAAAGACATATGAAGTACAAAGTTGCCAAATGTACGATCTATGTGGCTGACGAGACACGACACTTCCTCGATACCAACACTTCAAATGGCTTTACCTATAAGTTTTACCTTCCTTAAAGTTTTACCTCTACGTATTTTCTTTTAGAGTAACTACATTAATGAGGTACTACTGTATGGTGTATATATCACGACACTTCCTCGAACACTTCAATTACTATATGTAAGAGCACAGCACGAGAAATTCCATATTACTATCCTTAATCAAGATCTACGATATACATCTAAGAGTTTTTTTTTTTTTATGGTAGCAACATGTATTATGCTGGGTCTATTTTAAATGGTACACAATAACGGTATTAGTACAAACAATTATAATTATACTATATATATTGGTCATATTCCTCTAGCTACTTTAGTATGAAAACGTAGAATAGTAATATATTGATGGCTTTTGTTGACGAAAAATTTAGCATCTAAAGCAAATATCATTGTCTCCGAAGTTCAATTGCAAACTCCATTCAACTTCTTCAAATCACCATCTGTTTTCACTGCATAACCTTTATTTAAAAAAGAATCATATAAAATCATTGTTTCAAAACTTAGATTGGAAGGCCAACTGAAGAAAAAAAAAAAATCAAATTATGTCATCGGACTGATTGTAATGACCCGTACAGTGGTCCAGCAGAGACCAAGGCAAAGACTGTTGTAATGCTCGGATTAGTTAGATGAGTTTTAAGTAAAAACCTAAGTAAACACCTCGGTGACTAAGCTGCTCTACTTGCTTGCCGGTGACTTCGGAGTTGTGGCTGCTTGGTGACGGAGCAGGGTGCTTGCTCCGATCGTGGGTAGACCGTGGGTAAACTTGTGCCTAGGTTGTGTCTGCATGTGTTGTGTCGGCCACACGCCAACGTGTGTCGACCACACGCCTGGTCAAGTGCACCATCACCGCCATATGTCGCGACCTGGGCAGTGCTTGGTGGAACAGCGTGGGAAAGTGGTCGCAACCTGTCCAGCTGCTTCACCTGCTTGTCCGGGTCTATAAATAGGTCGGTCCGACCTACTAAGCACGACACACGTTCTGATCAAAATCTCACCGCAAATTTTCACCGCGAAAAGTTTAACTTAGTTCCGTGATCATTCTGTTTTGATTAGTCCGTATTAGCCTTACCGCGATTCGATCCGATCAGTCTGTTCTCTAGTCCACCGCAAATTGTTCTGTGAAAACTTAGGATAACTGTTCCTAGTCAGAATCAGTTTTTTCCGACTTGTTATCTCGTTCTGATCATGAATATAACCTTAGTTCTTGATTAAATGTTCGAATCCATGTGGAAACGTGGGTTCAGTTTCGTTAGGTTCCAAAGGAACAAGAATTTCCGCGACCAAGTCTTGGTCCGTTCTGATCCGGTCTAGGTAAGATCCGCGAGTCTTGTGCAATAGATTTTTCCTTAAGAACGTGAAGGCTTGATCTTATAACTAGGCCGATCTACTTATGCAGAATTACAGTCCAAGAAATCTAAGGGAAAGTCCAAGGCAAAATCCGTTTTGATCTAGAGAAAGTCTAAGGCAAACCGCGAGCACTCCCTAAGTAAAAGGTGAGTCTTTGGTAATGTTTTAACGTGTGTTAGATGAGTAGGACACACGTGAATGCTTGTTGATTGTTTATATGTTTATAGCCGCAGAGGTTCTTGCGGTTAAATGGTTACACTTGCTTGAATTGCCTAAGTACTTGAATATAACTTAAGCATGAAAGCATGAAACGAATTATAAATTTATATCATAACTAAGTCTGAAAAACTTATAATGAACGGCATGTTATTCCCTTGAGGCCGTGACTTAACTAATAAAGAGACGGGATTGCAGCCTAGGATCGTGTGTTGCATGGCTATGCAAAGATTACTTGCGGTTCCATAAAGATTTGATCGCCGGAATGTGAGGATTCTAAGGCCTTAGCCTTTGTGGTTTTGGTCTGGGGGATGCCTCTGGATACACGTGAATAGAATAGTCATGGCCCAAGGCCTTATGGAAAAATTATCATTAATGCATATCTTGTCATATTTATCTATGATATTGCATACTTGCGTGTGATTGTTATTTTAGGTTTTGATTGGGAAATGATTATGGAACGTTTAGGGGAACCCTAGACTCACTGAGCAACTAGCGCTCACAACTCAACTTGTTTTGCAGGTAACCTTTAGCGGGTAGATCATTGGGAGCACATGAAGGAACGTTAGGAAAATCAGTAGTAGATTTTCATGCTTTTGTAAATTCGTTATCACTTAATATGTATACGAATATTTTGAGTGTTAGACATGGGCCCATAAATATATTTGTAATCACGTTTGGAAAACCTAAGTAAAAGATATATAAAACTAAGTTTTTGAAGAACTCAGGTTTCATATGATATTAGTCCTAGTCCAGGACGAACCAACTATCGCTCATAACTCGGGTTGAAAAGCCTTGGGTTGTGATCGATAGGAATTGCTTGCTCGGACGTATAGTCTGGGGCTCTTAAATGTATTTTTCGAACCTCGAAATAAATGGCTAAGTACGCATTTGTAGCGTCTTTGGTTTGGTATTTGGGTCTACCGCAGGTTGCGCATATTCTTGTTTGATTATTGCGCGGCCTGTCGGGTCAACGTTGACCTAATCCGGGTCAGGGATGTTACACTGATCCACCCCCAAGAAGGGATTTCATTTTAAGAAAAATAAAAACAAACACAATTTGATGTAAAAAAAAATCACAACTCTTGTCATGTTAAAAACATTTGATAATTTACAAAATGATGAATATTCTAAATTTTTGATATTTTAAAACCAAAAATAATATTATAAAATTATAAGCATTATGAAATATAACATTGAATTATATTTAAATCAACTTTTTAATTTAAATCAATTATTAAAATCAATTTATTTTGTTTATAATTTTTCTGAAAACAATTAAAAGGATAACCTAGATTTGTTTTTGATAGTTAGCCTTTAAAATCAATTTTTGTGGATTTTTATAAAATTCTAGTTATTTTATCATTAATTATATTTTTAGTATTATATTGCGAACTAAACTCATTTTACGATTACTACTCTCCTTTATTACTACTCATTTTCAATTAGTCATAAATTTTGAATATCACGTAAATTCATTTCTTTCAAACCAATATATTACTTTTATGAATAACTCTTGAAATTAAACTACAAAACTTTTTTTTTTATATAACTCAAGGTAAATCCTAGGCTTATGACCCAAACTAATTTCTGGGAGAGGTGCAACCCATGGATAGATCCTCTCCGGATATGCAAATGGGCCGAAAGCAAAAACTCATATCCATGTGGGTGTCCTGGACAATGTGATTTAGTTTCGCGCGACAGGTAGATCGAATCTGGAACGTGCTGGCGTCCCAATCTCCTTACCACCCGACCATAGTGTCCCGGACAACTACAACAACTTTAAACCTAGATAAACCCATAGTGTGTATGTGGATTTTTTTTTTTTAAATAGACAGTATGGTAATAAATACAATATTAACAGAGATATAATATATACTTTATATGAATTACTATGGAAATTGTTTTCTTTTTTGTCAGCAGTAACTTATGTTAAACAAAATCTTTGGATAACCAAATTGGAGTAGCGAAGTTGACAATTGACATATGAATATCTACATGCCCAATAAATATTGTATTTGTATATTATACAAATATTATGTGTGCATACATTGGTAGATCATAAGACGATCTCAAAAGATTATGATTACCTCCATATTTGAGATTTCCATGAGTTTGAGTCAAAAGTACATAGTGGAACAACAAAATCTCACAGGTGTGCAAATCAAAAAGAGAACTCCATTAAATATATAAACCCCTATTTAAGCATTTTTAAGA